GGAACTTCGCGTATAAGCAAACTTCTGAAAAAAACTAGTATCGGTGCACTATTCCACTAATTGAATAACCTCGTAGCGAACGTCTCTATATGAAACCAAGTTGCATCATGTTGCATCACGCCGTAATGAGGAGGTCTGTAATCAATAGAAATATTATATACAGACAATAACAACGCTTAGTAGAAGTTCAGTGATGTTCTAACTTGCCGGAATGTTCTTTTTTCTAGATCCTTTTTTAAATTCGAAAGTAATTGAAGTTTTAAGACGTGTCGAACAAACCGTAGTCAACATGAAAGAAAGAAAATTACAATATTATATTTATTCTATGATTCTTATTTATTTTTCATACTATTTTTTTTCAATTAAAACGACGTATTTCATTTAGTTTCTTAAGTTTATTCATCACGAGGTTTCTTTTTTTTTAGCTCAGGTAACGCTTTGCTTTCTACAATAATTATTTGCAATTTGTTTTTTCTTTAATATGTCTGATTTGTGTTTAGTTCGGCCAATTCACTGACTATTATTATTATTTTTTATTTAGGCCACTTCGCTTAAACCAAGATGTTAAAGTAGAAATAGGAATTCGATTATTGTATTAAAATTAAAGATAACAATGGATTTTTAGTCAAATAAAATGTCGCTTACTACCAAGCCAACTATACTTAAAACGTTGACTGGCCTGCAAATAAGTTTATATTATTTTATGATGTGTATATTATGTATAAGTATTTCGATAGCCTATTTAATAAAAATATTTATTATTAAAGATCGTTTAACAACTAGAAAAACGAGATTTAATTGTTCTCAAGCCTAATTTAGTGTATTTACCGAGTTCTTTTTTTTAATTCTCTAATTTTTTGCTTATAATGTCATAATCCTAAAATCTCATTTAGTTCTTTTTTGGTCTGGTCGCAGTCAAATTGCTTGGTGATTAGTTCTTCTTTCTTTTTAAGATATTCTTGGCTGTTGGGTTCGCCGACCAGGATGATTTCTTCACCACTCACAAACTTTCCGAAGTAAGTAGAAATATACCCTGGATTATTGCTAGAAGAAAAGTTTCTGACTATCTAGAAAGTAAAATAATAAGAACCTCGGACATTATTTCATTTGTTAGCAGTAAGCTTGATTGATTTGCTAGTGATTGTGACGGTGTACACTATTAATGTTATTTAAGGCACTTAATCAATCTATCAAACAGGCCCACATTTTTATAAAAATAATTTAACAAATCAATTATTTTCAAAATAGTGGAAATATCAAATTTTTTTTAAAAAAAAATATAATAATTGAATACTTGATTAGTTTAGAACAAATTTTATTGTCTAATTTGTGTAAGTGCATGTACGTACGAGCAATATTAATAATTTTACTATGATCAGATTTTTAATCGGTGAAATTAAAATATCGATTAAAATATCATATTACTTTAATTAATAAAGAACACAAAATTCTACAAGATTCGCTTTGACATTGCACTTCTTTTCTAATTTTTTTTTAGCTGAAAACTCTTTGCAGAAATCATTTCTAAAAAGTTATGCTCAATTTTTTGCAAAAATTCGATTAACATTTTGACTGGTATGCTTGTCTAATTTTTTTCACTTTGACTTATTAAATTAAATGACTTATTTCTTATACCAAAAAACTTTGTCACAAATGTTTTTGTTTTCTGTTTGCTTGTAGTAAATTCTGAAAAAAACACATTTGAAAATATTGTTAAAGGTGCTCTTAAGCATCTAAATTAATAGATCAGTCTTAATTTTTAATTAGTAGAATATAATTAGGATAATCAAGTAAGCTTGTTATCATAATGAAACAAAAATGGTTCTAACTATCTTTTTTTTTATTATAGAGTTGTATTTATTGGCTAAAATTTATAATATATAGATAAATATTATAATAAACTTAAATTTTTAATTAAATATAAATTTATATTTTATTTTTAATTTATATAAATATTATTAATTTATTTTTATTAAAATTTATTAAATAAATTAAAATAATATAAATAAAATTATGATATAACTATCCATTGATCAATATTATTAATAGCTATTTGAAGTCTATTATCTATATTATTTTCTTCTGTTTCATTATTATTTTCATCATCTAATTCATTATCATTATTAATATCATCTGTATTTTCATTATCAAAAATAATATCTTCATCTTTAATTTTTTTTAATCCTTTTTTAAATGCTTTAACTTGATGAAAAATTCCTTTTTTATAATATTCTAAACAATGTCTACAACCTGATTCCATTAAATTATAACAATTATCATGGTAAGAATGTCCACAAATATATACTTTACTAGCTGCAGATCTAATTGGAATTTTACAATAATCACAAGTATCTAATAATGGTAAATGAGCTGTATGATAGCCAGTTGGTAAGCATTTAAGCTCAAGAGTTTCATTTAAAGTTGCTATAAAACATTTAATATCAACTTTTTTGTTTTTACTAGTAATTATTTGACTTTTTCCAAGATTTTGAAAAACTTTTTGAAAATGTTCTAATAAAAATAAACTACTTTTTTTTGTTAAATAATCTAATTGCTTTGGCTTATATGGATATGTTTTTTCAGTACGAAAAGCATTAAATAATTGATTATTGTGCATATCTAATAAATATGATTGTTCAATAATATGATCTGAAGTATAATTAATATTAATATTTGCTCGTAATCGACTATGAAAATTTTCAACAAAATAATCATTAAAATTAACTAAAGATTTTGATATTATATTTGCTAAAGGATGATTAATTTGTTGCCAATAAAGATAATCTGAAATAAAAGCTAATGGTGCTTTATTATAATTTTTTCGTTTCCATCGAAGTGCAAATGTCCATAATCGAAATACAGTATCAAAATATTGATTAAATTGTCCAGATCTAAAAAGAATTGCATATATATCCAAAGTTGCTGGTACTAAATTATCCAAAAGATCCAACATTATTCTATATTCTATATCTTGGCAATTATTTCCAAATTTTAATAAAATTCCTTGTGATATTTTTTTCTATCCATTATGAATTAATTCAAGTAATAAATTAATTCTCCAAGGTTTAGATTTTTTTGCAAATATTTTTTTTTCACCAAATAAATAATGAAAAAATTTTTCAAAAAATGAATAATGAATAAGAATAACTTGTTCTCGAAAATTTAAGGAAATATGAAGAGGCCCAATAATTGGAACAAAATTACCAACATTGTCAGGAACTGGAATAGCATTAAATTCTTCTGCATCAATTTCTTTATAATAATGTGTCAAAATTTTCCGAATAAAATACTGTCCTGGCCAATCAGCAATTATTGGTATAACATTTTTTTGAAAATATGGTTGAAATGATTCTATTGAAGTAATCATTTTTAGTGCATCTAAATAATCATATGTTGATTTTAAATTTTGTTTTTGTACACCAATTATTTTTATATTTTTCATTGATCTTTCCTCTTTACGTTCACTTATTGCATCATCATAAATATGTATAGTAAGCAATTCAATTTGATCTTGATTGTTAAATTCAATATTATTAGCAATCCAATTTAATTTTTGTGTATTATAACTTATATCAAATGAACCCTTAATATTATTATATAAATATTTTATAATAGATGTGTCATCAATATTATGTGGATTAAAAAATGAGCAATTATTAAATAAATTATTATTTATAATTGCCAAAGCTGGAGTTGTATTGATAATTGGCTTTGCTACACATGTTGCCATATGATTTACAGTACTAAGTGATGTTGTATTTGGTCTACGGTTTCCATGAATATCATGAAAATCATCAATATTAAAGCAATAAAAGATATCTGACTAAAAATAATAATTTTAATTAATAAATTTAAAAATTTAAAATAAATAAAATTTTAAATTATTATAACTTACATTTAAATTGAAATATTCATCAAGTTTTGTTAAATGATTTTTTGCAATTTCTTTTTTGTATCTTTGAATTGTTTTTGTATGAACACTAAGCCCAATATTTGATAAAGTATTAATTCCAGAATTAGTCATTCCTGATGATTGTAAATAAAGACCAAGATCTAATTTAAAATTATTAGCAAACTTATTCCTTATTCCAACTAAAAGATGACAATATGCAACTACTTGTTTTTTTGCTTTTTCTATATTTTTATCAAGTCTTTTTTTTGGAATTAATGCATTAATTATTTCATTAAAAAATCCTTTTAATTTTGGCTCATTTAATTCTATTGTTTGTTGAAATTGTTCAGGATCTAATAAATATTCATTATTTTCTCTTTGATATTTTAATAAAATAGTTGTTAATAATTCTAATTGTTGAGAAAATGAATAATTTTGAACTATAAAAAAAATAAATTAATATTAAAAAAAATTAATTTGGCAGTATTTACAATTTATATTAAACTAGTATTGTTATAGAAATTTTAAAGATAATACAAATATAATAATATATAGCATTATTTTTAAGATCCTTATTTTATATAATACAGTACTAGTTTAATATAAATATAGATATTATTTTTTAAATTAAAATAATTATAATATTATAATTACCTAAATTATTTGAACTAGTTAATATTAAATTGTTTTGATGATTTTGATCAGTTAATGCTTCTATTTTTAAATCCTTTTGAATAATTAATTTAATCAACTGATTAAAATTTTCTTTATTCATTGAAATTGTATCATCAGTTATGCTAATTTCAATATTTGTAATTTGTTGATTAATTTCATTTAATTTATTTTCATAAATTAATTCTTCTTTTTGAGTTTTAATTACTTCTATTAAATTTACTAAATTATCAGTTTCCATTAAGTCCATAGAAACATTAGATTCATTAATTCTACTAGTTGATTTTTTGATTCTATTTATTGTAGATATTTGACGCTGATAAGAATCTGCAATTTGATTATAGCAAATAGAACATAATTTATCAAATCCAGGTTTAAGATCTTGATAAAATTCTCTATCAGGACAATTATCAATTTTATTTTTAAAATCATCTGTAATATTTCTCCAAGTTGTAATATGTTTGAAACAAGCTGAACAAATTTGTTGAATATTTTGTTGAGACATTTTTTTTAAAAAAATTATTAAATATGTTTATAAAATTTGAAAAAATTAAAAAAATATATAGTAAAACATATTGTATTTATATATTTTAAATGTAAATATACACTATATTATAATACTGTATTTAAATTTATTGTATGATATAATAAAATTTAATTTTAATATTATTAATAAATAAAATATATATGTAATAAACAACTTAATAAAGATATAATATACACATATATGTACATTCATATGTAACAGATATTTAGAAAATTATACATAGTAATATAAATATATACTATTGAATATCTGATGTATTTCACGAGCAAGTAATTATAGAATAATTAAATCATACGATATATATATTTTTAATTAAACTTGTTATTTTATTTTACTATTTTAAATTTAATTATACAAAATTCGGATCTTTCTTTTTTTATAAATGGATAAAAAAAAGTGTCAGGGAAAATAGCTGTATGCAAATTCATACAGATTTTTCATATTGCAAAATAAAAGATCAATAATTATCGTTATTATATTTATTAAAATTAACTAACAATTCTGGTTTTTTATTTAGCGGCACTCATATTATGGCGCGTTTGTCAAGATTTTTAGTTAGGCTATAGTAACAATGTGTCTAACCAATTATAAGTTATTGTATAGTGGGTAAAAAAATATCGGTACGGTAGTACGGGTATAGATCAGTGGATGGATCAAATATTTTTCAGATGTTTTAGGGCCGCGATAGCGGCCCTAAAACACCTGAAAGATATTTGATTCATCCACTGATCTATATCCATACTATCGTGTCGACTTTTTTACCCCCGTACAATAATACCTTAGATCAGATCACAAATTCTTAGAAATAGTGATGCTACTCAAGTAGAACCTGGGCGGGTTCACCTGTCGAACGATCCAAATAACACCCGGGTCACTTTTTGTCAAGATCTCTTAATCAAGGACGGTCTTTTTCATATATTTCTAAAGATAAAAAAAAACTGTAAAATAGTGATATAATATAGAGTCAAGCGTGACTATGTCACGCAGCTAATCTAGTTTTGATTGATTCTAATAAATGACCACCATTACAAACACATGCGAGAAAATTTTAACCGAATTACAGTTTGAAGCCAGTCTATTTCACAACGTGTCTACATCTTATTTGAAATTCTGTGGATTCGGAATACATCTAAATGAATTTCAATTAATTACGAAGAATCATTACAAACTTATTATTGCAGCATTCTATGTGCCTACTAATACAAATTTGGGAACTTCTAACTAAACAAAACTTCCATACCTCCATTAATTATAAGCGACACTTCTAACTCCAGAACTAAAATTACGTATTGGACCAAAGCTATTAAATCGGATGAATTGGAATCAACAAAAAAAAAAACAATATTTATAAAAATTAGTAAATATGCTAAACAATCAAAGTAAAATACTAAAAATAGCACTATACCTACATATTCGTCCGCTTTATCGTGTTAGCTAGTACACGGATACGAAGGTTTCTTCGAAATACTTAGAATTCGAGAATATTCACCACGTTCAACGATTGTCTAATCAACAGTGTGTCATGTGCATAGGGAGGTTGCTG